ATATATAATCTCATGTAATTTATCCATATAATTTACTCGCATAATTATTAATTTATTAACATACATTCTCACCACATTTTACACAATAACTTTCAATTTCTGTTGGTCTGATTTGCTCATTAGTCTCATCGTTGACAATTTCTTCAAGTTCATGAAAAACTTTTTCATGTTTTTCATGTTTTTCATCACCAATCGGATTGATGGTGTTTGTAAAGTTCGTAGAAGGTCTAACTTGTTGTTCTTTAACCATTTTTTTCTTTTTTTCTAATGGATTTTTTTTTTATAATTTATAGATTCAAAATTTTATTATTATGTAAAAATTATGTATTGTATTGATTTTTTAATAATACAATTATTAAACCAATACAATCCAATCATCAAATCAAATACACAATACAATCCAATACAATACAATCCAATCATCCAATCCAATACAAATACAATCCAATACAATACAATCCAACCATCAAATTCAATACAATTATCCAATCCAATCCAATCCAACCCAACCCCAATCATCATAAAATCCCATAATTTCAAAATTTTAAAAAACTTTTGTATAAATCGGCAATTCGCATCAAATCAGTTTCTTCATCGACTGTACTTTACAGGATCTGTATATAGTACATCACCTGTCTTCGTTTTCCAACTTAGACACAACGTTTGGACTGGATGATGATTTGGAGTGCACTATCTGTAATGGGAAGCGTGGTAGCTTTTTATAAGTTGCCATTTGATGATCTTGCCTACATTTATGTATGGTGAGGGTAGTTGCACATTCTGACAGTCTATTTTTTTTTTAAAAAGTTTTTTTTTTTGTAATTAAAGCAATCTAAATTGGTTTATTTAAAGATATATATGTAGTGTTAGTACTAATATATTAATAAATAAAATGTTAATTAGCATACATCAATTAATTCATAAATGTGATTCACAAGCTAATATTTTATTGAATGAGAATAGTAACAAGACAATAAGACACCGAAATTATTTTGGGCCCTTAAATTTAAAAATTTTCCCATTAATAAAACTTATTATGAGAATTTAAAAATCCATTGTTCATGATTGGAAATAATTCATATTTCATTCACAATAACAAAAATGTTAGATCCAAAACTTGAAGTTTCAGATGAACTTGCTACAAATAACAATGCTATTTTCATAACTCCTCAACAATCACCTGTTTGTAACAATAATAATAGCCATAATTCAGCTTTTGCTGTTGTTCATAATCAACAGCAACAACATACTGCTAATAATAACTGTGTAAGTTTTCCTTAATAGTGATTACGAATATTACAATTATAATTATTAACATAAATTTTTGTTAATAGTTTGATATTGTTGATTTTACTCGGAATAATAACATGTAAGCTATAAAACTGGTAATTATATATTATGTGATATGTATATGTTAATATCAGATTTATGATTTTATATTAAGGGAAAAAAATATCGCAACTGAATGTCTCACAAAGCAAAAGTTTTTTGTAGCCAAACAGTTGACGCAGTTGCTAAATCTGTGGCCATTTCTGAAAAATGTTG